TGGGGGGCCGGGAGAAGCGACGCCAACACCACCAGAGGGGGCACCCCCAGCGAGGAGGTCCCCGATGCTCGGGGGTGGACAGACCTCCTACCCTGACACTCCAGTTAAGGAGTTGGCCGTTTTCGGTTCGCGAGAGGGCGTCGCGGCCGTCACTTTTGCGGGTCCAGGTCCGTCGGCTTCGCTCCCGGGCGGTTTTCGCTAAGGGGAGGTTTATTAAAAAGGGAGGTTTGCCCACCGCCGAGATGCTTTTCCGACTCGGGAATAGAGGATATCCCGACCGAGAGGGGGGGACCACACCACCAGGGGACCCTTCCTTGGCTCCTCCCGCTGGTGGTCCTTGGTGGTGTTGGTGTCGGCTTTCCATATTCCTAGAGGGGGAGCCACCGGCATAGGAACCTGAACATTCTAGGCCTCCTGCAGGGGATCCGAGCAGATGGGGTCGAGGGATCGCGCCGCGTCGGCGATGCCTCGGCATTGCGGCTCGATGCGTGAAGTTCGATTTTCTCCACGCGGACGTCGCAGACGCACAGCCGAAAGTCGCCGATGCATCGCCCATGCATCGGTGATGCATGACCCATGAACCCCGTGTGGGAGGCCTCTACCGTGGACGCGAACTTTTTGCCAGTTTTCGCCCCCTGGTGGCCCTCTCCTCGCCCAGGAACCCTCGAAAAGCTGAGAGAGCGACTCCGGATTATGTTGCCCACATGGACCCTTCGTACGACCCGCCCCATTCGCACGACCCTCCTCGTAATCCTCCTCCTCCTCCTCCTCCTCCTCCTCCTCCTCCTCCTCCTCGTGCTCCCTCTCCTCCTCCTCCTCCTCGTGCTCCTCCTCCTCCTCCTCCTCCTCCTCCTCCTCCTCCTCCTCTCCTCCTCCTCCTCCTCCTCATCCTCCTCCTCCCTCTCCTCCTCCTCCTCCTTCTCGTGCTCCTCCTCTCCTCCTCCCTCCTCCTCCTCCTCCTCCTCCTCCTCTCCTCCTCGTGCTCCTCCTCCTCCTCCTCCTCCTCCTCGTGCTCCGCCTCCTCCGCCTCCTCCTCCTCCTCGTGTTCCTTCTCCTCCTCCTCCTCCTCCTCCTCGTCCTCGTGCTCCTCCTCCTCCTCCTCCTCGTGCTCCTTCTCCTCCTCCTCCTCCTCCTGCCTGGCCCGCGGGCAGGAGGTCCGCTCCCCTCACCGCCGGCCGGTGGCGGCGGCGGCCGCGGGCAGCGGGGCCCGGAGGCTGCGTCCCACCAGCCGGCGACGTCGACGTCCGCGGCGGCGGTGGCGGCGGCGACGAGGGCATTTCGGGTCAGGAGGAAGAGGAAAGCTGGGAGGAAGGCGGGGATTTTTGCAACATCAACGCCAGAGAAGCACAGCACACTCCACGACTGCACAGGTGGAGAGAAGTGCGCTGAGCGGATCGACCCCTATACAGGTCAGGGTCGACCGCAGCGGCTGGCACGGGACGCGGCCAGCTCGCCTCGCTGCGACGGGCGGAGCCTCGACAGCAGCGTTCGGCCGCATCAGCAGAGCTGAGCGGCGAGAAAACAAGGAAAAAACAAACGAGTCCGAAACTGACGGGCGCCGAAAACGAGGGAAAGGCAGGAGGCCACCCAGCATCTCCCCCACAGGGAGGATGCCGCGTGGCCAGCCGCCTCTACCCCTGGCGCCTGTCAGGCAGAGTCGTCCTCGCGCTGTACAGGAGGCTGGCAAAGAGGAGCGTCGTCCTCCTCTTGAGGGAGGGCGGCACGCACGGCACTCAGGGCCCCAGCCTCGGGCGAGACGGCAGTCTCGCTGCGGAGGCAGGGGCTCCTCGCCGAGATAGAGACAGGACCTCCTCCGCCATCCACCGACGACGACCTGACGACCACCTCCTCCTACTCGAAGGCTCCGAGGAAAAGACGAGCAATTTCGTCCTCCGTCTCGAAGCTGTCAGGGTCAAGATGGCCCTCACCAGGCCGAGGGGACTGCACAGGCTGCCTGGCTTTCGAAAGCCCCGCTCCAGGCAACGGGGACTGGACAGGGAGCCTGGAAGAGCCGCTACTACGAGAGAGATTCGCGCTGCTACGCGAAGTCCTGACCACAGTAGATTCCGATAAACCTGGTCCAGCGCAATGTGGGGACGAGAGAGAGGCGCCCGCCGCAGCTCCAGCTGCAGACGGGTGTGCCTTCACGCAGGCGTTGGCGGCCGATCGGCCGCTGCAGCTCGACTGCGACGCTGGCTCGTACAGCACCTGCGCAGGCCGCGCAGCGGTGCGGTAACGTGCTATCTCGGCTGCTACTCTGAGCAGCACCTGACCTGGGCTTTCGGCCTTCTCCTGAGAGGGGGGAGGCTCGGGAGGAGGCTCGACGGGAGGAGAGGTATCCAGAGTGCCTTCGGCCGTCAGGTCCACATACTGCAGGTCGATGTCATCCTCCTTGGGATGGAGACCCTTGACAATACGATTCCAGCAGTGTCTGCGCCCGCGCATGGAGTGGTCAGACAACTTCACGGCCTCCGTGGGACAGCGCTCGCGCAGTCCTCGCACTCTGCCGCCCGTCGAATACAGCTTGCACCGAGTGCACACGGCGACAAAAGAGCCATCCGAGCAATCGTACGTTGAAGGAGGAAGGCGGGGAGGGCGAGGACGAGGTCGAGGAGGAGGAGGGGGACAAGGAGAGAGGGAGGAGGCGGACGCCGACTAATCAGGACGGGCGGGAGGCGGACGACGATGAAGGGGGCGAAATGGACGACGAGGATAAGGCACGTAGAAGAGGAGAGGGACGAAGGGGGAGAGGTGGACGACGAGGGCGAAGACGACGAGGATGAAGACGAGGAAGACTACGACGACGACCAGCGGACGAGGATGAGGGAACAGAGGAGGGATTCGCTGACGGCGAGGACGTTGGTGTGGATGAGGGCGACGACGAGCAGGGGGAAGCAGAGAAGGAGGGCGAATCTGTCTAGGAGGGGCGGTAGATGTAGGTCCTCGCCGTGTTGACGCGGCTGCGACCCCAGCGCTGGCATTCGAGTCTTCCACGCCGTCGGCCCAGTCTCGGCCGACGTCAATGGAGCTCGGCTACCGGAAAGCCGCGATCGTGCAAGGCTCGATGATTCTCAGGAGGGGAAACAAATCACACAGACACAATTAATCGGCGATTCCCAGGAAAATATGGGAAACTATGGGACGTTGGGGGGAAGACAAACACCCCGAAAATATGGGAAAACATGGGGATTTGTTTTATTTGTGTGTATTTATTGCGAAGGCCTTACGGCCGGTGCCGCCGACCCTGAATGGCGACGACGACGACGACGACGACCAGCGCTCTTGGGGGCCTCTTGGGGATAGTTTGTGGGCCTCATGGGAAGCTCTTAGGGGCCGCTTGGAAGCCTCGTGGGGGCTTCTTGGGGCTTCCTGGGGGTCTCTTGGAGGGGGCCAGGGACGTCTTGGAGGCTTCTTGGACGGTCTTGGGGCTATCTTGGCGTTATGGGGATTCTTTTTATTTCTGTGTACTTATTTGTGTGTCCTGGGGCCCCTTCAGATTCGCGCGGTGTCAGAACCCAGCGCCATCGTCGTCGCGACGCGAGCCAGCCGCGCTGCCCCTCCCCTCGGCTTTGGACTCGATCCTCGCCAAGATGCGGCAACCCCTTGCGGGACCTGCCCCCCTCCGGTGCTGATCGACCAGCTTCGAGTTTTGAAGCTGATATTGAAGTTTGAGCTGAGTTTTGGAAAATTCGACTCCTCGTCAAGATTCGGCAGCAACGGCAGCGGCTTGGCCACGCGGAGAGACCACTATCGACGCTGGGGTATCGGAGACCCCGCCCTGGCTCACCTGGCCGCAGACATCCTTCGAATTGTGGACCCCAGTCCACTTTGCATAGGGGTGGATTCAATTGCCTGCAGGACAGCTCGCGAGTCGAGACGCGCAGGGATGCCGCTGTAACGCGACGGAGTCCGTGACGCATTCGCTCCGCAGTCGCTTTTTGTGCCCCGGGCTCACCTGATGTGCCCGCCTCTGGTCGCCTGGCGGCCCGTCCCAGTTCGAGCGACGTCAGACACGAGAGCGGCGGGAAGACCGAGCACACGATCGCTTGCTATCACCGACTACAAGAACCCGTAACCCCAATAACACGATAAATACATAGCCTCACAGAGGTCCCCTTCCTTGAACTAGGGCCATACCTCTGGGCGGTTCGGTTCGGTGCATCTGCAGACAAGACCCCCACATCCCTGACATCTTTGGCCCTCTTAATTTAGAATCCCTCCCAGCGGGTCAGGGGTCCTTCTTTTGCCGATCGTGCCGGCTCGTGGCCTTCGGGGGGGGGGAGGCTCTCGTCGCCACGGCCGGAAGCATCTCGGACATCTGGCACGACTGGATTTTTGGGGGGGTCCCCAGACCGATCCTGAGCTGCCGTTGCCTGAACTAGCAGACGGGAGGTTGACCCGTTTCATGACCCGTTGGCAACCGAGTGTGAAGTAAGGTGCGCGCGAAATCCAGCAAGAGGCGGAATGGGGGAGGAGAGATGTGGGGCAGATCGAACGAGAGGGCCAATGAACGAGAGGGCCACTGGTTCTTTCAGACTCAGGCGTATGAGCAAAAAGCACAATGGTTGGGTGTTCTGCGGTGTGCAACATATGCGTGTCGTTCCCCGGCTCTGGAAACGTCAAAAAGCAGCGATTGATGAGAAATTAGCTTTGGGAGAGGGGTCGAGATCTTGGGGAGCCACGTCACGGGAAACATGCGATGCTGGACGAGCGCTTTCAGAATGAAGGAAATCTTTTAAGGGAACGTGGTTCGGAAGTGTTTCACCCTTTTCGGTTTTTGGGGGGCCTTCCCCAGGCCTTGGGACCGTGACACAAATCATGTAGGATTATACCCTGGATTGTGAAAGGCCTTGTGCGTGGACCAGGACCCTATTGCACAAGGGCCCGTTATCCTCATGCCGAAAGGTGGCATGTCCCGAGTGGGATGACGGCCTGTGGAGATTTTGTTGAGGGGAATGTCAATATCGGAACAAGTACTTGCGGCTCTTGACGGGAGCACCCTTACACAGACTTGTCTTGAAACAGTTTACCATAGAAAGGTCTTCCTGCCTCGATTGTTCAAAGGCGCTCTCCAAGTATGGACGGAATCGCCAAGCGAGGGGGACGAAGGATTTAACCGTTCCAAAGTGGACATATATTTCGAGGCTGGTGGTCTGATGTCCTACCAAACTTTTGCAACAGGCAGACCGTATTCGTTTTGGTTCAACGCTATCTTACCCAGAAGTGAGTCAGTCGCTTTCGAGCGAGTTAGTGGACGGGGTAATGCCACTGGGTTGGACATGCATGCGACGTTGTTGTTGTAGGCGCCGAAGAGATTTGCAAGAATCGCTGACTCTGGGCAATGGTGAGACGCCAGGCTATTGGACGCCCGCGCGCAGTATCTCCAACTGCTCGTTTACAACCGCACAAGAATGTGAGGAGGGAGGGCAGAGAAGCTTTGAGGGCGTCCAAGAGCTGAGACAGAAGCTTGCCCAGGTTGCCAGTGCTCTGCTTCTCGAGGTTGCCAGCCTGAACGTGCAGCAGGGCGTCGCGACGACAGCTCGCGGCGCATGGCACAATGTCGGCACCCATGGCAGGTCGAAAGGCTGGGTCCAAACGGAGCGTCGCTCGAGAGCGGAGACCAGAGTCGTCCTCGATATCGAAGAAGCCTTCGGCGAGACACTGCCGCCCCCCAGCGCCTCTGGGATACGCCCAGTGTGGCCGGAGACTTTACTAAGCGTTGGCATAACGTCTGGGCGCTCACGTGACAGGTTTTTGCATTCCATATAAGGGAAGCGAGCGAGGAGTAGCACGATAGCAATCCGCAGCTATGTTCCTAACCTGCTGCCGCAACGATTGTGTGGCTCTCGCACAGCGGCACCTTTGCCTGCCCATGGCGGGGACCTCGGCGTTGAGAACTCGGCTGACCTGCGCGGGCGGTGCACGGAAACTGCTCTGCGAGCCGTTGGACTGGAGCACGTATAGTCCAGTGAGTTCGCAGTGAGCTGTAATTCATGCGCCAGCGTTGAGTCCACATCGGAATATGGGGGGCACGAGTGTTGTATAGAAGTTCGTTCACGCAGATGGCCTTGGACCTAGCAATGTACATTTCTCAGCTCATGCTTGTACCGTGCACTCTACTCTCCTCTATTCAGGCTCTACGCTTGCCAGCCCTGCTCCACAACATACATTCTTTGTGCTACACTGCATCACACTACGCATCAGTATCCGATGTCATATCCTCCACGTTTTTCTTGCACCACACCTGCTTTTGTACGTTCTACCCTGCTTTGTTTTCATGTTTGTTTCTTACCGACCTCGTCCTGGATGTGTGCCTGCACTGTTCTACGGTAGCCCCATGTGCATTGTTCTGGCCTCTGGCCCTCTACTCTGCATTCCTCTGCACCTACTCTGGACTGGTCGATTGCAATCTGCTCCAAGCGCAGTACCATTCTTATTCTACGTATCATGCTCGAGTGTTGTAGAGATTTCCCTTCGCTACAATTGTAGTTCAGCCAGTGTCCTCGTCGTGTCTGCGCGAGGCCGTGCGGTGTCTACGACTCCCCCAGCATTACCATAGTACGCAAATTGCATGTTATTGTTCTGGAACATCCTTGCACGCCCCCCCCCCCTCCGCGCATTCCCATAGCGCCAGTTCTAGCCAAAATTTGAGCGCGCGCGATGGCTGAAGGGCAGAGTGGCGCTAGAAATGGATTAACATGTGCATGATAATGCCCAGGGCGGGGGTTAAATGAGCTGTTCCCCACAGTCAGGTGGAACCCATTCTGATAGATCCTTACTCTACTCCTCGTCGTTTTCCATTCGGGTTACTCCTATCTATTTCCCGATACCCACGTTCGATTCCCACCCCGTGTGTGTGTTGGTTCAAATGTTCGTCACATTTGCCCAGGACTTCCCATGGCGGCCCATCAGCACCCCAAGACCCGAAGACGTCCCAAAAGGGCTCGGGCAGTGCGTCGGGATCTGATCCAGGGGCCCCGCGGGTTTCTGACGGTGAAGCAAGCCCCAAGTTTCGCCAAAGGGCCCCGCGACGCTCCACATGAGGCGACCACGCGCACGCGAGAGGACGACGCGCGAAGGCGGCAGCAGCCAGCGTCTGTAGCAGCGTGCCCCGTTGCGTCCGGCACGCATGTCCTGATGGATTTGGTCCTGGTAGCGCAGGCCCACCGCGTTCTACCCGGCAGTGTACCCTTCGCCTTGGGGCCCAGAGGTGGAAGGTGTTGTTACATTAGTGCCAGAATGAGTCACGTGCGTGTCAGTATCGGTGTGTGTGTGTGCGTGTGCGGGCGCGTAACCTCTGGCCAGCCGCCGACGCAAAAACAATGTGCGGGTGCGTGTATGGGTTTTTATGTGTGTGTGCCTTTTGTGTGTGTCGGTGTGTGTGTGTGAGTGCGTGTGTGTGAGTGCGTGTGTGTGTGTGTGTGTACGTGCGTACGTGCGTACGTGCGTGCGTGCGTATCTGCGTGCGTGCGTGCGTGCGTGCGTGCGTGCGTGCGCGCGCGCGTGCATGCGTGCGTGCGCGGGCGTGCGTGCGTGCGTGCGTGCGTGCATGCGTGCGTGCGCGGGCGTGCGTGCGTGCGTGCGTGCGTGCGTGTGTGTGTGTGTGTGTGTTTGTGTGTGTGTGTGCGGGGGGGGTGGTCGTGAGTTGCCCTTGCTGTCATTCACAATGGTGCCGTCATCCCGCTGGAGGCTGACGCGTGTTTGCGCGCGCGCGTGTGTGTGCACAGATATGTTAGATGTACGTAGAAAGAGAAGTGCATCAGTGTGCGTGTGTATGCTTAGACTAGTGTCTTATTCCTAAATGTTGCAAGGGCGGGGGGCGAAATCCGATGTATCTTGCAAATTGCATTCATGCCGCCATGACGTATGCAGGTCTCGGTAATAGTCCAACATGTGCCATTATTTCGGAGATGCGGTTCTCTAGCATTGTAACGACAGTGCCTTGTCGCGTTGGATCATATGTTTCTTATCCTTGTGCTGCGCCCCCCGTATGGGGGCCAGCGGATAAACACTGCAGACCAGGTGTCGGAGTTTTGTATGATCAAGATGTCCAGTCCAGTCGTCCGTTTTGAACTAGGTGGAGACAGCGTGGTTTCAAGTCCTTGCGTCGTTGAAGGAGCCTTAGCAGTTCTGCTAGAGTTGGAGTCTTGGCCAAGTTGGTTTCCAATGTGTCAGAGGGCGGATGTACTTCAACGCTGGAGCCCTGGAGAGATGCTGGTGCAGTTGGACTTCAAGCTGCCTGTGATACACCTCCATCTCCTGGTAAATTTGTACATCGGCGCAATCGACCGGCTAAGGGAGGATGGCTGTTTGGATTTAGTGATATGTTCCGCCAACAGCAAATTCGCAAGAGGAGTGGTAACACAGGAGCCAGGCCACGATGGCGGGACTCGCTTCTTGGACGTGCGCCTGCCGCCAGTCATGCTACCGCGTTTCCAAGCTGGGATCGATGCAAACGCTGACGTGGCAATGCTGCGCATCTCGCCGATGAGTGGACAGGGCGATCACCAGCGCGTCCAATTCTGCCTGGTCGGCGAGGAGCCGTGCCCGATCGACTGGCTGCCGCGGAAGATCTGGAGGATGCTGGCGAGGAACTTGGTGTCGATGCTCGAGCGGCGCATGTCAGAAGCTCCGCCCATCCCGGTCTCCCCCACCGCGGCCCGATTCTACAGAGCAGTGGAAGAGAGCATCGCGGCCGGCCGGGCGAGCGGCCGGGCGACGAGCGAGGCGCGGGCATGATGTGTTTTTTTCGCGGGAGGCGGCGCAGACTGCGGCACCTGCGGACGTTTCACGGCACGCCGCGCCGGAAGTTGGTGCGTTGGGGGCTTGCCATCGCTCGGAGGTGTGCATTTTTCCTTCGGCGAGGACCATCGAGGAGCATCCTTTCTCATTCGGCGAAAACCACGCACGAAATCGAAAAAAAAAAAACACAGGGAATGGACGTCCGAGCGATGGCCAGGGGGCGGGTGCCAGTACGCACTCTTCCCTCGGAGGGCTTCGGTCCGCTTCCTTTTTGTTTTTGTTCGCGTGATGCCAGGCCGTGGGTACGCTGCTGTGCTTCTTGCTGTGCCCTGCGCCTTCGCCTAAGCACATGGCAGCGCGCTCGCGCGGGCCCATGCTGACCCCAGGATTTGTTTATTACGCGAGCCCAATATACGATACCAGCGTGCACGTACTACGGCTACGCGTCAGATCTTGCTTGGAGTTATGTTCGTGTTTTCTTCCCCTTGACCCGGTTGTGGGCACGTGGGCGACGCGAGGAAGGGGGTCTTTCTGCGCCGTCACTTGCGCGCACGCTGTCCGCGCAAGGTCGCGTTTGAGCGTCACCACTTCCAGCTGGCGTGCCACGCTGGCGGCTCGCGCAAGGGCCCTGGTAGCGCCCTGGGAATGACGCGCGCCCTGGGGCCGCTGGGGCCTTGCCAGGATCTTCGGAATCGCCACGGAGCGTCCCTGCAGCGCCCAGGAGCGCCCTTGGGTTCCTGGGCGGGCGCTGGGTCACCGTGACGCGCGCCCTGGGGCCCCTGGGGGCCTCTTCTTCCCCGGAGCGCCCAGGAGCGCCCTGGGCCCCCCACAGTCAGCTCGCACAGGGAGCATGGGCAGCCCTCCCACAGGGGCTCCTGCGTCCTTGCCTCCTCGGTCCCTCCTTGGCCACGTTCGTGGGCCGCGCCCCGCTCGACAAGGCCTTGGACGTGGGTGTCCAAGGCCCTTTGCATCCTTACCCATCGGTCGTTGAAAGTAGGTATTTTGGGATTCCCGGATTCTCATCTACTCTCAGCGCCTTCCTACCTCAAGAGTCGAGTGGTTCTCCCTCTTCCCTTCTCTTCAGGGGGCGGGCGGAAACCCCAGCTATTTCCAACGCCTTCCTGCTTCCTGCTTCTGCCTACTTCTTCCGACCGACGGGTACCCTTGCATCCTGGTGATGCGGGCCAGCTGCACGCCGCCGCGTGAGGCCTCCCGCCCTCTCGCGCAGTGCCTCGGCGGCTCCGCCGCCGAGCGGCCCCGTGCCGGTGGAGCCCCCCCCGCCCGCAGCGGCGCCGCGGCGCCGCGGCGCTCGGCGTGGCACCGGGCGGGGCCCGCTCCACCGCACGCCGTCTCTCGGGGGAAAACAAACCTGCCTCGCTTTGGACCACCCTCGCTCCCAAGAGATAATTGCCAAACAGTGCCACACTGCGGCCTGTGCTGGTCGGGCCGCTGGACGAGGAGGCGCGCGGTGTGGCCTGGTTTTGCCTGGAAGCGGACGCGGGGGAGGTGATTCACGCACTGCGTCTCACCCCTGCGGCCTCGCCCGGCTGCCGGCGGGCGCTGCAGGCCGTGCGACGTGTTCCGCCGCCGGCCTGCTTCTTACGCGCTATGCCCCCCCCCGTCTTCCACGCTGTCCTCCTCGTCATCCGCCGCCTTTCCGTGCTCCGCCGCACTGCGTCTCACCCCTGCGGCCTCGCCCGGCTGCGGGCGGGCGCTGCAGGCCGTGCGACGTGGCGCCGCGGGCCTGCTTCTTACGCACTATACCCTCCCCCCCCGTCTTCCACGCCGTCATCCTCGTCATCCGCCGCCTTTCCGTCGTCGTCGTCGTCGTCGTCGTCGTCGTCGTCGTCGTCGTCGTCGTCGTCGTCGTCGTCCTGTCGTCTTGTTCCCCCCCACTGGCCCATGGGCGGAAGCGACGGCTCCCGGTATTGTGCGATCATGTTTGGATCAGGAGTGGAAACATCACACAGACTCAAGACACAATGAACCGTCGATCCCCAGGAAAAGATGGGCAAACATGGGAAGCGCGGGGGAAGACGAAAACCCAGAACATGTAGGAAAACATATATATATATATGTTTATATATATATAGGTATGTATATATATATATATGTATATATATGTATGTATAGGGGGGATCCTGGGACTTGTGTGTATTTATAGGTGTGTCCCTGGGCCCCTTCATTGGAGCCAGCGCTAGATGAGACGTCACTGCCCACGCTGCTGCGTGCGACGGGGAGCGGCGCCGTGGCCGGTACGGGCTCAGCGGGAGGCCGCTTTCAGAAGCAGCACGCAGGGCCACTGCCAGCTCAAGGGATTCCCCGAGGCCGCGCGCGAGGACAGAGCGGGCCTGCTCTCAGAGGAGGGAGAGATGCCCATACCGCCACCCTCCCCCACTGTTTCCCCCATGTTTCGGCCTGCTCGTCGGCACCGCTGGATTCGCCCCCAAATCCTGTCGGGGAAACGCAAGACCCGAGTAAGCCGGAAGTCGGGTTTGCCGACGTTTTTTTTGACGAGCGCGTCCTGGATTTTGACGGTCCAGGTTCCGTCGGATGTCTGCAGCGGGAGCTCGCGTCAAACTTCAGATGGGGCCTCGTCATTTTTCTGATGGCCCCGTCGGGCCAACCCGAGTCCCCCGTACCCGAGTCTTACGTCTCCCCAGATCCTGGTCCGACCGCGCCCTCGGAGAGCTCCGGGAAGCAGCGGTGTGGGCACCTGCCGGCTTCCCCGGTGCCCCTGGCGGCCAGGGGCCCCCTCGTGACTCGTTGTTCCTGGCGCGTGCCTCCGTGGCGCGTCCGTGGCGCTCGGTCCCGTGGCCGTTGGCTCGCGAGGAGGAGGAGGAGGAGGAGGAGAGGAGGAGGAGGAGGAGGAGGAGGAGGAGGGAGGAGAGAGGAGGAGGAGGAGAGGAGGAGGAGGGAGGAGGAGGAGGAGGAGGAGGAGGAGGAGGAGGAGGAGGAGGGAGGAGGGGGAGGAGGGGGATGAGGGGGAGGAGACGGTGTGGGTGCCTGCCGGCTGCCCCCATGCCCGCCTCGCTCTGCCCGGCTCCCGGCCCCTCTCTCGGGGCGCAGGGCTCTCCGCCGCGAGAGGGCGGCGCCCGGGCACGGCCGGGGGGCGGCGACGGGGGGGGGGAACAGGCGCAGAGGCTTGGCGTCGCTCGGACGTGTGCATTTTTCCTTGGGCGAGGGCCATCGAGGAGCATCCTTGATCGCTTGGCGAAAGAAACACGCACGAAGCCGGAACAAAAAACACAGGGAATGGACGTCCGAGCGATGGCGGGGAGGGGGGTGCATCGACCCCCTATAGCCCATGCGTCGCCGACAGAACAGCCCCACCGCGCCCAGGACCGTGCGGATCTGCTCTTGGACGCTCATCGCCGGTCTATCGACGATGTGCCGCAGACTCCAGGGCGACGTTCCCCCCCCTGAGCTGGCCCCCGCCGCTCGCTGCCACTCAGGAAAGTGTTTCTCGTCCTGAGCCGTCTTCGGACGTTTATTATGTTCTGCGACGAACCCCTCGAGGAATCACTGCGCACATGATTCGTGACTTCTCTCGGCGGCATCGGCCCGGGCGGGCGCCCGTCGTGGCTGGCGGGCAGGGCGGGCTCCTCGGCCGGACGCGGCAGCGCACGCCGAAGACGTCTGCCAGACCCGGCGCGCACCCACGGCCCGGGGGGCCGAGCAGAGGCCCTGGGAGTCGGGCGGGGTGGTCATAGGAGGAGGAGGAGCAGGAGGAGGAGGAGGAGGAGGAGGAGGAGGAGGAGGAGGACGAGGACGAGGAGGACGAGGAGGAGCAAGACGAGGAGGAGGCGGAGGAGGAGTAGGAGCAGGAGGAGGAGGAGGACGCGGGGGGGGACCCGACGGGCCCTATAAAAGGGGCACCTTGGGGCTCCTTGTTGGGCCCCTGCGGGCTCCCAAAGGGGCCACAGCGTGCCCCGTGGGGGCCCTCGTCTGCACCCCCCACTCACCATGCCCACCCGTCCTTGCCACCCAGGGACCCACCATGCTGTCACCATTTCCACCCCTGGGCCCTCCAAAGGTCACCCCCCATTACCACCCGCACGCGGGAGGCTGCAGACGACGAACACACGAGGGAGGCTTCGAGAGGAGGAGGAGGAAAAGAAGGAGGAGGAGGAGGAGGAGGAGGAGGAGGAGGAGGAGGAGGAGGAGGAGGAGGAGGAGGAGGAGCAGGAGGAGCCCAGAGACGGCGAATAAAAAGATCCAGGGCCGCGTCCTTCGGGGGGACCACGTCCCTCCGTGCCCCGCGCGTGGACAGCCCCCCCCCCCCCCTCGGAGACCCCTCTCTCTCCGGGGGCCGCGCTCTGGCCATGGCTTGCAGTGGAGGACCTAGCCCGTGGCGACGAGAGGCTCTTATAGAGGAGGGCCGAAGCTCTCGATCCGCCTCGATCCTGAACGTCCAAAGACATGTTGTTCTTGTCCCTAATCGGCCCAAGCTCCGGATCCGCCTCGATCCTGGACGTCCGGCGATTCCCGCGGCCCCCTATGCTCCCGACCTCCTCGTCCACGGGGGGTAGATTCTCGCCCCAGGTCAACGTTCGACGGCCCCAGGGCCCGGCAATGAACAGGCCCCATGAGGCGATCCTCGAGGATCCTCTTTAGCCTTGATCCACGAGCCTCGATGCTCGATCCTGCCCAGAGGCGATCCTCGATCCTCGAAGATGCTCTGGCCTTGATCCTCGAGCCCCGATGCCCGCCCGCCAGGCGGGCGGCCTGTGCGTCGGCTTCCGGCGCCAGCGCTTGCCCATGGCCAGCTGGGCGCATGCGGCACCGCGCTGCCTCGCGCTGGCGCGTCTGCCCCCGTCGCCGCCGGCGCCCCGGGGCTCCCCGTCGTCTGCCTTTTTGGGTCTTCTGGTCGATGCTTCCGAGGCGGTGATGGCATCCGTGACAGCACCGCACGGGGGATCGATATTCGGCACATCGGCACGCGCTGGCTATGTATAGGGAGCCCACAAAGGACGTACGCGCCCAGCTATGTACATGAACACGGTCCCTTGAAACGCGAGACCAGCCGCGTGACACGAACATTCGCGCAATGCGAACTCTCGAAACCAGCGTGGATTCATGTACGTGTACGTCCTTCTTTCGCTCCTGAATGTAGCTAAGCGCGGTCTTTGTGGGGGCACGTGTATCCATACCCGCCGCCCGCCGACGTCCCCGAAGAGCGATCCCCCGTGCGGTAGCACGCCAGGGCCGGGGTGTCCAGCGCCGATGCCAAGAAGTCCCCGCGGACAATCATAAGTTTATGTGACTGTGCTTCTTGTCCCAGGAAAGGGAAGAGGAGGAGCAGGGGGATGAGGAGGAAGAGGAGGAGGAGGAGGAGGAGGAGGAGGAGGAGGAGGATCGTTCCTGGAGTCGAAGGGAGCAGGTCCGAGAATACGTAACCTCACAAGCACTGGGCGGCTTTTTCGGATCGGTTTGGACCTCTCTGATGGTTCCTCAGGCACCGCCCCTGGCGCGCTCTGGCGTACCAGGGAGGGGGGATCCAACGCCGATCCCAGAAGTCCGCGCGCACACTTGAAAGTCTACGGTTTATGCAGCTCTTGTTTCTGAGAGGAGGAGGGGCGGAGGAGGTGGCGGAGGCGGAGGAGGGGAGGAGGAGTACACGGGGCCTGCTGCCGCCTCGCCTTCGCCCCGCGGCCCTTGGGTCGCCGCGGCGCCCGTCTAAATTCTAGGGCCCAGGCGCCCTCGCAATATGAACAGTTCTCAGGCCAGGGTGCCCATTCCCCAATCGGTACTTGCACTGAAGGGGTCCTAGCGAGAGTTGAAAGATTTGGCGAAAGGTTCCTGCCAATTTGGTAGCAGGCTGGGTTCCCGGGTTCCCTGTGAATGGTTCCCGGCCGATTTCCTTGGGTTTTGGGTTCCTGGGCTCCTGGGTTCTCGGTCGATCTCTTCAGCGAAGACCATCCACTGATTGGGGTTTTTCGTTGGTGGAATGTAAATGTCGAAACCCACGTTCCATGTGAATTGCAGTGGTCATCCATGTTCCAAGGCCGAGGTGCCGATGAACAGTTTACGCTGAAGGTGCCCCAGGAAGCCTGCAAGATTGCCCCGAGGCATCTCGAAACAAGAAGATGATACAGGACTTGCAACAGCCATGTGCGAGGGATGGACTAGAGCTTGAGCGCGCGCGCGAAGCGCGCACGATTGTCCTTGATTGAGTATGTCGGAAGACCATAAGATGCATACACTGCCCCGTAGCTTAAATGGTACACCTGATGCCTGCGTGCCTCTGTAGCAGGTATCACGACTCGATCTCTTCGCAAAGGCGGCCAGTTGCACTGCGAGCTTGACTTCGCCAACCAGTTACTTCGCAAACCTGCTGGGAGCCATCCGCAAAGCCCTGGACCATTTGTCTCCAGCGCTTACTTCATGCAGATTATATGTGGGTTCCTGTACTGCAGTCGCGCCACTGAGATGCAGCAGGGCCCACCTGCAGATGGCGAACGTCCATCAGTCCGCGAGGCCAGGTCTTCTCTGTGCGCACAGGGGGCGTTCCGAACACCGCTTGGCCATCGCCTTCGAGGGATCGAGGGTTTCACTTCTCTTCTCCGGCGCAAGGCCAGCGGAGGGCGGCGAAAGCAAAACAAGGGCGGCTTAGCAAGCGGAAGCTGGCGAACGTACCCCCCATTAGAAGCCGACATGATTGAATGCAGGGTTTCTGGAGCAGGCCACTGGGGACACATGATGGTAGATCTTGGGTTCTTGTTGCGAGCCACGCATCAGGATCTCCACTGATCCCGCCCTGTAGTTCCCCGTGGATTCGCGGGCTCTTCGGAGGATTCCCACGGATGGGTCAGTTCTTGTCAGGCTACAGGAGCCGTCTTGGGTCCCAAAGTGATGAGCGTGTTTTCCACCACCACCACCATAAGTTGGAGGGGGGGGTCCTCCTCCTCCTCCTCCTCCTCCTCCTCCTCCTCCTCCTCCTCCTCCTCCTCCTCCCCTCCTCCTCCTCCTCCCCCTTCGCCCCATCCAACTTATGGTGGTGGTGGTGGAAAACGCGCTCATCACAAAGGATATTCTGAGACAGGCGGAGCCTGAGGGCGACATCCTGGATCCCCTTCTTGCCAACAACGTCCTGGAGAGGGAGGCGCGACGTCTGTGCTGCGCACCAGGGGGAGGAAGGCGCAGCCCGCTGACCGCACCGGTAGCAGATATGGGCGAGCTTACTTTCGCCCCCTGTCTGGCATTCGGTGGAACGCTCCGCCCACCAATCATGATGGGCCCGTTTTCCACCACCACCACCATAAGTTGGAGGGGGGAAGGAGGAGGAGGAGGAGGAGGAGGAGGAGGAGGAGGACCCCCTCCCCCTCCAACTTATGGTGGTGGTGGTGGAAAACAGGCCCATCAAATCACGGTAGTCGGAAGCGGCGCTCGCTCCGGAGAGAGTGTAAGTGCGGTGCTTGGGCGGTCTGTCATTGACCGTGTATGAAAGCTCAAAAACACCAGTCCCTCGCGACAACCTCTCAGACAACGAAACAAGTCCCGAACGTGCGCGCTGACCCCCGAGTCACTTCGGACACAGCGGACGGTGTGGACACCAGACCGATTGGGCAAGTACTTGGGCATCCCCCCAGGGACATCCCTGGGGGGCTGCGATATGCGAAATTGTTGCCAGCTTCGAGGGTTGCTAGCGGGGGGTGGGGGCAGCAGAGTGGGCATTCACAACGGATGCAAATTCAACCTCGCCGTCTTTGTGGCGTTGCGATTTGTGACATTGTCGCCACTTTCGAGAGCTGGTGGGGAGGCCAATATCATGCGTACTTTCCGCAGACTTGATTTAGACCTCGCCGTTCCTGGGGGCTGCCTTTTCCCCAACGACTCAGGGGTTGAACTTGCAAATGCTTCTCACCAAGCCCTTATCCCTTGATCGGGGACCCGCGAGCTTCCCCAGTGCCGTCTGCAGAAGTATATCCTTCCTTGCCACGCCACCACCCCGTATAACGTCTGCCAAGCTACTCATACCCCGCATTGCGCAGAGGTTGTACATGACGTCAGGGTAATTTCAGTCCTTCGTCGAAAATCGGCCTGTAGGAGGACAGGCCCGACCTAAAGTTGAGAACGGGCCAGAGGGGCATGGGTGCTCCGCGGTCTCACTCGGGTCCCGACTGCATCCACCCAGCCAGGTTCACCCAGGGGCGCAGCCCCGCGGAGGTCGTGCAGCCGGGAAGGCGGCGAGGAGTGCCAGGGCTCGGCATTTGCAAGTCGGAGGGGATATCGAAACGGTTCACAGCAGGACGGGCCGGTGCTGGCTTACTCCCCAAGAGCCTCCTGCACAGGCGTTGCTATAGGTAGTCTGTCTGTCTGTCTGTCTGTCTGTCTGTCTGTCTGTCTGTCTGTCTGTCTGTCTGTCTGTCTGTCTGTCTGTCTGTCTGTCTGTCTGTCTGTCTGTCTCTCTGTCTGTCTGTCTGTCTGTCTGTCTGTCTGTCTGTCTGTCTGTCTGTCTTTTCTGCCGCATCCGGCGTGGCCCGGGCCTGTCCAGTGCCTGGGCTGGTTCGCCTCGCCCGCGCGCGCGGACCGAAACCGAAGCCGTTTTCCATGCTGGGCGAATCCGTTTCATTCCGGGCCGCCCCGCATCCTCCAGTGTGGAGGGTTCCAAAGGGGGCTTTTTGGGAGGGCGTTTTCTTGAGAGCCTCGGAACTTCGTCAAAACAGGGGGTGCGAAGCCCCTGGGGGAGGCCCGGCCCGCCCATAGCTCTTCTTGGAGGCTGGGGCGGGCATACTCTCAGAAACGGTAACATTTTCATCACCATCGGCGAGCTGTTCTTCCGTCCCTGGGATTTTTGAGGGTCGGGGACGACGTCGGAGTGAGGTGGTGTATAAATTGTTGTTGGTGCGTGGGGCAAGAGTCCAGTGTAAGTGCCAGTGCTGGGCCGGAAAAGGTGTCGGTGTATAGAGTTCGGTGTCATACCTTTCTCTTCTGTGGGGGGCTGGGGTGGGCACATTCCTCCCAGCGCTCCGAGGTGCCACGCTCGCGGGTGCTCTTCAGGACTGCGTGGGGGGGGGGAGGAGGGGAAATGTGGGACTAATTGGGGGCTGTGTTTTCGTCCCTCTCAATCATTATCTCTATATGTATATGTATTTATCTCTATTTTGTTTGTTCTCTCTCTCTCTCTCTTTCTCCTGTCTCTCGCTCTCTCCTTCTCTCCTTCTCTCTCTGTCGCTCTCTCTCTCTCTCTCTATCTCTGTTATTTATCTCTTTCTCTCTTTCTCTCTGCTAAACATTTTTTCAGGATGGATTCACCTCTTAAGATAATCCCATCAGAGGTGGTTCCACCTCTACTGGGACCCCGTTAGGGATGGAGCCACATGTGTTATAATTCGGCTAGAAGTTGACCCACTTCTAATGCACTCCCAACAGGAGTGGAGCCACCGTTAGTCCATAACTCCATCAGGGATGGAGTCACTTCGAATAAGGCCTTGTGAGATTTTGGATCCCGCTCCGAGGGGATCCGAATATGGATGGGGCCACCTCTAATAAAGTCCTGCCAGGGAGTTGCCCACCTCAATCGTACGTTTAAACAGTTTGGGTCCGATGCACCTCTAACACAGTCCTCTTAGAGGTGGAACGACCTCCAGCAGAATCCGATCAAGGATGGGGCCACCGAAAGGATGGATCCACTTATGATTGATTCCGATTGGGGATGGGGCAACTTCTAATAGTATCTTATTAAGGATGGAGCTCCCTATCATATAATCGCACTGGTGATGTTGCACCTTTTGCTACAATCCTTTTAGGGATTGACCTCTGACAGCGTCCTCATTGGGATGGGCCCACCTTTGATATAGTCGTACGTAGCACCCCGCAATTGCGGATACGAGTGAGGGGGCGGGCGCGGACGACGCGAGCGTCGAGCCGGCGGACCGCCGCAGGCGCCGAATTTTTGGCTTGTTCAGTAAGCGTAGTTTGGGTCGCGGGTGGGTCGCGGGCTCTCCATCTCCACTTGGGAGGAATTCAAACAAAAAACAGCCCGCCGCAGGCGCCGAACATTTTGATTTGTACATTGAACGCGGTTTGGGTCGCAGGTTCTCCACCTGGAACGAATGCAAGAGAAACCCGCCGCAGGCGCCGAAGTTTTGGCTTGTTCAGTGAACGTAGTTTGGGTTGAGGGTGCGTCGCGGGCTCTCCACCTCCACCACCTGGAAGGAATTCAAAAACAGCCCGCCGCAGGCGCCGAACATTTTGATGTGTACACATAACGCGGTTTGGGTCGCGGGTGGGTCGCAGGTTCTCCACTTGGAACGAATGCAAAAACAGCCCGCCGCAGGCGCCGAAAATTTTGGTAGGGTCGCGGGAGGGGTCGCGGGTAGGTCGCGGGTGGGTCGCAAGTGGGTCGCGGTGGGTCGCGGGTGGGTCGCGGGCGCGGTTTGGGTCGTGGGTGGGCCGCAGGTATTCCACTTGGAACGAATGCAACAGATGGGTGGGTCTCGGGGCGGGTCGCGGGGTGGTCGCGGGGTGGGTCGCGGGTGGGTCGCGGGGTGGGTCGCGGGTGGGTCGCGGGTGGGTCGCGGGTGGGTCGCGGGTGGGTCGCGGGTTGGGTCGCGGGACGGGTCGCGAGCGGGACGACAACAATAAACAACAAACATCAAACAACAAACAGCAAACAACAAACAACCAATCACAACAACAAGAAGAATCCGCATCGCGGAATTCCATTTCAGCCACGCACCCACGGACAGTGAATGACCGTTCGGTTCAGCCCCCTCACTTTGATGAGGTGTGACGCCACCCCGAATGAAGTCCAATCAGGGATCGAGCCAGCTGCAATAGATTCAGATCAGTGATGAGGACGCCTCCAACGTAATCCGATCAATGAAGGCCATCCCGACTCTAATCAGTTTAGAGGGGATCCACCGATACCATAATTGTTCAACTATAAAGCAATCGTTGCATAACTTACGACCCATGAACAAATGCACACGTGCTAGAATCCTATCAGCGGTGGGTTCAACTCAGACGGAACCTTGATAAGGATGGGGTCACGCGTACAAACGAACATCCATTGAGGTTGAACCATCTAGATTCCCATCAGAAGTGGGCCCGCCTCCACTAGAAACCGATCAAGGATGAAACCAGTTGGGGCAGAATATAATCAGAGGAAGATCCACCTCCATTTGGATCCTATTAGACATGGAACCGCCTCCAGTAGAATCCAGGATCCATGGGGCTACCTATGGCTAAGCCCTGCGATGCCCTGCTGCGCCCTGCTGGCCCCTGCTAAGCCCTGCTAGGCCTAGCCGATCCCTGCTTAGCGGGGCTAAGCTCTGCTGGCCCTCTGCGAAGCCTTGATGAGTCCTGATGGCCACCTGCCAAGCCCAGCGAAGCCTTGATAGGTGGGCTCGGTCAAGCCCCGCTAGCCACCGATATGCCCTGCTGAGGCCTGCCAATGTTTGCTTACAACTGATGGTCTTGCGCAGTTCTGCCTACGCCCGGGCGACCTGCTAATCCATGCAACGCTTGCTAATACATGCGGAGCCACGTCCATGCTTGCTAATACATGCGGAGCCACTTCGTTGCGAACACATGTCAAAGTCTGATCCCCCCAGGTTTTCCTGAAATCTGATTTGCAAGCGTAGGGTTCACATCTCGTCGTCTAGCATAAATATCAGCTGTCGAAGGTCCGTACAGGTACCTTGTGTCTGCGCTGGGTCACTCTGGCAGCGCCTCTTGTGCAGCGACTGGCGCGCCTCGCGTGCCAGGTAGTCGGGGGGGGCCAGGGTCGATCCACGAGATCTGCGCTGACCTCCGTGCGAAGTTTATGCTTCTAGGCTGAAGTTCGCCCCTATATTTGTTTTCTGGGACTCACGCCTCGAAGCTTTGGGAGAACCCCCCCTCCCAGACCCCGGACGACGTGAATTTTTCTCAAGGTGGACCCCCGAAGGCCTAGACAAGTTCCCCTGGACCCGTTTTGATCCCGAGCCTTGTTTTGTCGATCCCGGGACCTGGCGAGAGCCCCCAGGAGGCCGAAAACGTATACAAGCTTCCCGTCTGGACTTTTGTCCGTGGTCGCACAAGCAGCTCCGCGAGGAGGAGGAGGACGAGGAGGAGGGGGGGGGGGGGCAAGACGAGGAGCAGGCCGAAGGCGTCAGTGCCACCCACGGCGAGGACGAGCCAGATCGGATCAGCAGCAGGGGAGGAGGGAGAGGAGGCGGGAGGAGGCGGCGAAGCCGGCGGAGGAGGGGGAGGAGGAGGCGGAGCACGACGCGGGGGGCCGACGAGGGCCCCTGGAGGAGGACGGGCCCAGCGGAGCCCCCCCCTGACTCCGGATCCGCCCTACTTTTGGGAAATTCGTAAGTAGGGCTTGGAATTTCCGCCTTTCTCTTCAAGCCCCGCTGATGCCAATTTCCGCCCTATTTTTCTGCTGTTGTTTCCGCCCTACTTCTGTGGATTGTCGCCCTATTTTATGTCGGGTGCAGACATTTCCGCCCTACTTGTTCGGCTTCTCATAGGTGGGTTTCCGACGCCATTTTAAGTGGGAAAAAAACCCAGCGTAGGGCGGATTTGGAGTCAGGGCCCCCCCCGGGGCAGGCCCTCCGTCTGCGCCCTGGACCGCTCCCTGGTGCTGCGGGCCCTGCTCGACGCCGGCCCGCGGCCGGCGCCGGCGGCGCTCGCGGCCCTCGTGCCGTGGGTCCCTCCCGGGCTTCGGTCGGTCGGTCGACCGGTCGAGGCTCGTTCCAACCTACGCAAAGATCAGGACAAAATCGGATCGGGATAACTCGAAATCTCTGAGAGTCGGCGGGTTTGGAGGAGGTATTGGGCGCCGCGGCCGCTCCAGAGCGTTCCGGAACGCTCTGAGAGCGCTCGGGAACGCTCTGGAGCGATTTATCCCGATCCTAGCCCTGTTTTACACAGTGCCCAACAGCAGTTCCTGTTCATTGTGAGCAGGACTCGCTGTCCGCGCCGCCGCGGCCCGTGGCCGTTTGAGACAGGAGGCCGCCTGCCCAACAGCGGCCGCTGTTGGTTTGGGGCATGATTTGTTGTTGGGCATTGTACCCATTTTTGTCCGTACCTATTTCGGGCGTCCAAATTCCCGGGCTTCGGTCGGTCGGTCGACCAGTCGAGGCTCGTCGTCGCCGTCGTCGGCCCCGAGACGTCCAGGGGAGGGGGTCGGCTACAGAGCTGATCTATACCCCAAACCTTGTGGCCGTCGAGTCTACGACACACACAGACGTATGATCATGTGTGAGCGTTGTTTTTCCGTCCCCGGCGGGACGCTCGTTACCCCGCCCCCCCTCCCCTAGGGTAACTCGGACGATCGTCTTAGGCGGGGAGGCCTGGACCCCCCTTACATTCTAGGTGGGGGAGGCCTGGACCCTCCTTACATTCTAGGTGGCAGACTGTGCTCAAAGGCAGGGCATGGTGCTGAAAGGCATGCGGTTGGTGCTCATGAACGTGTTGTGGCGCTCTCGCAGGCTCCCCAACTGTTGCGGCGCCGAGCTCACAAGCATGGCGTGGTGCCGACAGGCATGAGTCGGTGCTCACGTGCGTGTTGTGCGTGTTGTGGCGCTTGCAGGCTATTTGCGGTTCAGCACCGGTCAGGCGGACACTCACTGCCAAGAGGTGCTCTGCCCGGAGGGCGCCGGGTCGGGGGACCGACGTCGACCAAGAACAACATTGGCGCACGTGGGGTCCGAACAGTTTACTCAACAGTTTACTCGTTTTACGTAACACGCAGGGCACGCGATGCAACCTGTACGGTGCTACCAAGTGGTCGTTTCTTTATGCACTGTTTTGCCGATCGGCGCGGACCGTCGCGCCAGCCCCTCCCCCCCCCTCCCCCCCCTGGAGTGGATCTTGGCTGTTTTTGGCGCCTGTGTCGAGCAGGTGGAGTCCCTCCCCAATCAGACCCACTGCTGCAAACAGTCGCACTAAGCTGAGTCCTGAGCCAGACCCCCCCCTCCCCCCCCCTCTTCCGCCCAATGTCGAAGCGCCGAATTTAAAACACAACAAAAAACGCTCACCAATGTCGGCACCAGTGCAAGCATGGCGAGGAGAGCACCAGCGCTTGAATGCAAGCGTAGTGGTGGGAACTCCACGGCGCTGGAGCTCTCGACCCCATCGTGAGTCTCTTGCTGTTCCTCCTCTTGGTGCTCATCTTGCTCCTCCAGCTGCTCCTCCCCCCGCTCCGTATTTCCCTCCCGCACCGAAGGCCGCCATGACCACTGAAAGGGGAGAGGAAGAGGACAGTGAGGAGGAGGTGCAGGAGGAAGAAGGGGAGGAGGAGGAGGAGGAGGAGGAGGAGAAGGAGGACAGGGCGGAGGTGGAGGAGGAGGTGGAGGAGGTGGAGGAGGAGGTGGAGGTGGAGGAGGAGGAGGTGGAGGAGGAGGAGGAGGAGGAGGAGGAGGAGGAGGTGGATGTGGAAAAGGAAAGGGAGGTGGAAAGGGAGGTGGAGGTGGAGGCGGAGATGGAAAGGAGGTGGATGCGTAAAGGGAGGTTGAGGAGGAGGAGGGCGACGAGATGTATGACGAGTCCTCAGGCCTTTGCGGTCTGTGACGAGTTCCGCTAGGAGGCCTCGCAAGCTACCAATGCGCTCGTTGGCAGTGTGGCGTTCTGGTGTAGCGTTGCGGTGCACGGAGGCATTGTGGCGTGCGTAGGCGCTGCGGTAGATTGCTGTGGTGTACACAGGCTCTGTGGTGTGCGCAAGCTTTCTGGTGCACGCAGGCAGAGAGGTGTACGCAGGCGCTGTTGCGAACACGGCATCTGTAGTTTACAAAGGCATTGCGGTGTGCATAGGGGGCGTGGTGCTGCAGTGCACGCGGCTTTTGTGGTGTACGATGGCATTACGGTGTACACAGGCGGCGGTGGGATGCACGCAGGCATTGGGCATTGTCGTGTACGTAGGGACTGTGGTGCACACGGGCTATTGATGCGCCAGTGGCGCGGACGCACCCTGGCGGGTGCACGCCGCGGCCGCCGTTACCGTCACCCTCCCTCCCGAGCACACCCACCCCAGGGGAACGGCCGTCACCCTGTAGGGGAAAGTCAAGGCGAGCATGTTCACGCATGTATGTGTAAACATCTACATATATATACACTTATATCAGAGTGAGGGGGCTGAACCGAACGGTCATTCCCTGTCCTTGAGTGCGTGGATGAAGTGGAATTCCGCGATGCGGATTATTGTTGTTGTTGTGATTGTTGTTGTTGTTGTTGTTGGTGTTGTTGTTGTTGTTGTTGTTGTTGTTGTGGTTGTGGTTGTTGTTGTTGTCGTTGGTTTTGTTGTTGATGTTGTTGTTGTTGTTGAACATTATTTATTCTAAAGAATAATTATTGTTGGGCCCCCTGGTGCGCGCCCCCCCTGCGCCGCCTAGGCCGCAGCTACATTTTCATCATTTTCGTGAGGAAGCCTCAGAAAAGAGGGTGTGTACAGGATCCGGTTGTTTTGTTGTAATCCGCTTTCCCTTGCAAAAAACAATAGAAAATGACATTTCTTGTTCTAATATAATCAAATTTCAAGAATCCCTTGCAAAAAATAAGGTAAAGTGGACATTCGCGCGCGCAAGACGAAATCCTTCCAAAACCTTAGTGTTCGCAGCGATTTTAACATAAAAACATCAAAAAACCAATGGTTTTTCAACAAAAAATTGTCAAAATCTCATCCCGCGCGCTCTTGCGGATTCGTAGGAAACCCAACACTTTTTAAACATTTCTGTCAAACGGGCTTTTGCGAGCAACTTTTTCGAACTTCTGCGACAACGGTTGCGCACCTGCCAGGGCCATCATCCCTGTCAAATAATACCATGCGGGACACATTCGTTTTTTCTTCGCGCGCGCACGCCGTCGTCGTCGGCCGCGGGGCCCTGAATAGTAGCCACGGTCGTCCGCATGCCACGAAGTGAAGTGTCCGAACGTCATAGGGCGGGAAGCTGGGTGTGGGTGGTGGCGAAGAGTCGTTTGGAAATTTGGTAGAGCTTGAACCGGCCCCCCCACAAAGTGGGGGTATTGCCCGCCTCCTATGAAAACCCTGGCACTGGTGAGAACGGAGTGTCCCCACGTGCTAGTAATTGTTGTTGTTGTTGTTGTTGTTGTTGTGGTTGTTGTTGTTGTTGGTGTTGTTGTTGTTGTTGTTGTTGTTGTTGTGGTTGTTGTGGTTGTTGTCGTTGTTGGTTATTTGTTATTTGTTGTTTGTTGTTTGTTATTTGTTGTCTGTTGCTTGTTGTTTGTTGGTTGCTGGTTGTTGGTTGCTGTTTGTTGGTTGTTGGTTGTTGTTGTCGTCGCCCAACCCGCGACCCGCCCAGCGACGCACCCGCGGCGCACCGCGCGACCCACCCGCGACCCACCCGCGACCCACCCGCGACCCGCCCGCGACCCACCCCGAGACCCACCCGCGACCCACCCCGAGACCCACCTGCGACCCACCCGCGACCCACCCGCGACCCACCCGCGACCCCTCCCGCGACCCACCCAGAATTTTCGGCGCCTGCGGCGGGTGTCTTTTGCATTCGTTCCAGGTGGAGCACCTGCGACCCACCCGCGACCCAAACCGCGTTCAGTGTACAAATCAAAATTTTCGGCGCCTGCGGAGGGCTGTTTTTGAATTCCTTCCAGGTGGAGGTGGAGAGCCCGCGACGAACCCGCGACCCAAACTACGTTCACTGAACAAGCCAAAACTTCGGCGCCTGCGGCTGGTTTCTTTTGCATTCGTTCCAGGTGGAGAACCTGCGACCCAAACCGCGATCAGTGTACAAATCAAAATTTTCGGCACCTGCGGCGGGCTGTTTTTGTAATTCCTTCCAGGTGGAGGTGGAGAGCCCGCGACCCACCTGCGACCCAAACTACGCTTACTGAACAAGGCAAAAATTCGGCACCTGCGGCGGTCCGCCGGCTCGACGCCCGCGTCGTCCGCGCCCGCCTCCTCACTCTTACCCGCAATCGCGGGATGCTACGCATATATGTATATATCTATATATATACACATGTATATATAAGTATGTAAATGTGTATGAATAGTTATATGTGTTTAGATCTGCGAATATGGAATGATTTCTTTCGACAAGAGACCCGGCTAGGGTAAAGAAGTTATATATTCGAGGCCCTTCTCTAACGTGCGACGCTCCGTCGGTCGCCATGAGGCAGAGGAGGCTTTCGATGGAGATCGAATCGGGGGTTACTCGAGGTGCGACTGGCCCAAGGTGCTCCCTGCCTTCCGCTCCATTTGAAAGCCTGGGCCTTGTCAGGGGTGCTCTTGAGGCCGTGGGGTCTCCGTGGATATCCTGTGGACACCTTGGGCCAGGGACACTTCTAGCAACACCCGAGCCCCGGGCTTCGATCGGTCGGTCGCTCGACCGGTCGAAGTTCGTCGCCGCCGCCGGCCCTGAGACTTCCAACGCTCCGTCGGCCGCCATGAGGCATGGGAGGGAGGCTTTCCATTGTGACCGGAGGATCCCCAAGACAGGTTTTCGGGGCTTGGGGTGGTTTCCATCAGCTATGCCTCGTCGAGAGCGCTCCGAGGAGGACGGAATCGACCCGACGGCCGCCGGAGACTGGATGTATGGCCCGAGGCGGTTCCTCGAGGGTCGACCGGTCGGTCGAGGTGCCCATCGCTCCGACGACCCCGAGGGCCAGGCGTGGCAGTCTCTGGCACGCTGCGTCCGGTCGCCCGGTCTCGGGCCCGGGGCCATCACACACAGGTCGAGCCGGCTCGAAGATCGGGGGCGGAAAAGAGGGGGGTGATGACTAGGGGGGGGTGGATATCATGGCGGGGGGCATGATATTTCCTCAGATTTCACGGCGCCTCTTCTTATTTCATTACGTCCCTGTCCCCCCTTTGGGCCGCGCACGTGCCGCCGTTCATGATTTGCACCCCCCCCTCTTGGACACCCCCCTCTTTGCCGCTCCCGAGAAGAAGGCAGTAGAGCTGTGGTCCAGGGATCTGGTCGTTTTTTGTGCGTGGCGTCTCCTTTTGTAGGGGAACGAAAAGTGGCATAAACATAAAAGCTCGGAGGTCCGCGCGGATTTCTCGGATCGGCGCTGGGGCCCCCCGGCGGAGCGCGCCAGGGGCGGCCCCGGAGGCGCCGCCGGGGGGGCCCCAGCGCTGATCCGAGAAATCCGCGCGGACCTCCGTATTGTTATGTTTATGCCACTTTTCGTTCCCCTTCTTTTGTCCGCTGTGTCGGAGCTCAGGGGAGTACGGTAGGTAGGTCGGTCGGTCGAGGTTCGTCGCCATGAAGCAAGCCCAGATCTTCAGCGATATTCCCTGGACAGCTTGTCTGCAAGGGTTCACTGTGCCCACCCGCCAGCTCCAGCCGCTGGCTGCCGCTCCCCGCCGCCCTTGCCACCGTGGTTCGCCACGGCCGCCCACCGCGCTCTGGCCCTGTGCGCCTGGCTGCTGCTGCCCCCCCCAGCCGCTCGTCGCCGAAATCTTCGGCGTCTGAGCGTCCTTTCTTCCTCTCGGCCGTCCCCCCCCTCTTTGCTCGCCGGACAATTCGCTAGTAGGTGCCCTATCTAGTTTCTCGCTGGAGCGGAGTTCGCCGCCTCGCCGCTGACGACAAAATTGTCTGCGAGGGTTCGACATCAGACGTCTTCCATGTTTGGTAACGGTGCCCAGATACAAAGTGTCCACACCCATGGCGGGAAGGCGATGCAACATGATGACAACCACAGCTGCGAAATGCCCCTGCTTCCCACCCCTCCCCCCCAAAACTGAGGGTGAAGGGGGTATGTGTGTTGGTCCGACGCACTTTCATGACTCAAGGGCTTTGGCGAGACACGCGTGGACACTTTCAGTCCACCCACCGAAGTGGACGGTGGAGCGGCGCGGCCCTCCCGTTGTCTCAAGTGGTATTCAGCTGTCTCCCGTTGTCTCCCGTGTTCTCCCGCTGCCTCTCGCTTCCCCGCTGTCTCCCATTGCCTTATGACGTTTCAGCCTTCTTTCGCCTGAAGCCACCAGAGAGAATCTAGAGCCCCCAAAAAGTGCCGAAACTCAAGGTATTTTCACGTGTCGGGCCCTTGGAGACACTCGTCCGACAATGTTTCAATACTGTTTCAACCTCTTTCGACACGATTCCGGGTGCTCGAAATTATTTCTGGGATGTGGTCCTTAGGTACGATGGGAGCAACATCACCGTTGCCCGTCATGGTCTCCAGAGTTCTCCTGTTTCCTCACATTTCCGGAGGGAGAAAACCAGGCACAATGAATTGTCGATTCATCAGATAATATGCGAAATTTTTAGAACTTTTAGAAATAGAAGGGAAGATACAAACCAAACCAAAGATCTTAACATTTGGGGGATCCTGGGATCTGTGTGTATTTATGTGTGTGTGTTGTGTGTGTGTGTGTGTGTGTGTGTGTGTGTGTGTGTGTGTGTGTGTGTGTGTGTGTGTGTGTTTGTGGGCCCCTTCACCAATGTCTATCCGTACCCT